TACGCCTGACTCAAGCAGCCAGATGTGCCTGGCTTTCCAGAGTGTCCTGTAAGCCCAACCGTCCACCTATGCAGATGCTTCAGGAGGGCTGGTTACTGACACTTCCCTGATCTTTCAACCCTCCCCTCCTTTCTAAATTGTATAATGTCCAAGTCCTGTAACAAATTCTTATTCCATACTAATCATTGTGGTTCTGCTTCTTTACCAAATCCTGACTGAGACAGAGTGTACTAAGGGGACATTGTACGGCACAATGGAAGTCATCCCCCCCAGGAAATATGATGGCTGAGAATTTCTCTTAAAGAGCTGAGGACAAGAGCAAACCTGGATTGGCTGCCTGGCCCTAGAGCCCCAAGGTGAATAAAAGAGGACTGATGCCATTCACTGGCCTGCCAGTCTATCACATATTCCTCCAAAACTGTCATGTCCAATTCAGAAGACACCAGCCACAAGAGGCCACTGGGCACTTAAAAAGAAGTTGTTACAACTGGGGAAATTAATTTTAATTAAAATTTAAATTAAAAACCTGGTAACTTGAGTCTTTTATTAGAAACTTTTAAGTATGGTTCAGAATAACTTGAGAAAGTATAAAGTTTTACGAAACAAATACATATCTACTATTTCTGATGAAAATGTACAGTTCAAATCACGATGGACTGTGAGTATAAAATATAATGCATATCATTAAAACAAAGTACCTAATTTCACAATACATATATCAAATCATTATATTATACACCTAAAACTAATACAATGTTACCCGTCAATTACATCTCAAAATTTTTAAAAATATATACACACACTGCATTCTAAAGACTCAGTAAGAAAAAAGATAATAAAATACCTCATTAATAATTTACATAAATCACATGTTGAAACATTTTGGATTAAATAAAATAATATTATTAAAATAAAAGCACCAACCAACCACATGGAGAAGGCATTACATCCACTTTACAAGTATTGACACTGTTACCGCCCAACATGGGGCCTTCTGCTCGCCGCAAGACATGCCAATAGTCAAGAGGCAAGGTGGTAGGAGAAAAAGAACTTATTACAGCTTGCTATCAAGAGGGAAGATGGCCCATTCATGTCCAAAAGAACCATCTTAAGGGGGCACAAAATCTTACAGCAGTTATATAGGCCATTGGGTTATTGGGGAGGGGGTTAGGAATGTTGACCTTCTGGGGTTACAGACTGCGAGGGCCACACCAGATCTTTCAGTTTTCACTGATGATAGCTATCAGCATAAATTCTCTGTTCGGGGGTCATCACATTCCTAGGGAACTCAAAAAAAACAAAGTTATCATCTTATCGCAGCTGGGAGGCACGTGTACAACCAGGGGTTGTAAAATCTAGAGATCAGTTAGATCTCCTGGAGGGTGCATATCCAGCTGGGTTAGTTTTTCAGAGGTCATTCCAAGTTACAATAGGGCTTCTTTTCTACAATATGGCTTCCCTTATGTCAACCTTGTCTTGAGCCGGTATCAATACCAAGGCTCACAAGAGGTAAAGCAATGTAACCAAGGTGACACAGTTAGCACTCAGATGTTACTCAAGGTGACACAGCTAACAGTGTAGACTTACACTTTATGTAAAAAGAAAAAAAAAGTAAAATCTCGAGGCAGTACACAGAGTAAAAAGTAAAAGATCACTTTCACATTTTTGCAATACTTCTCATCCTTGGTCCTAGTCGCCTCTGAATTAACAGTTTAAAATATATTCCTTTTACACGATTTTCTATGCATTTGCAAACACCTTTACCAACATTGATACTATCCAACTTTAAGGTCTGCCAACGTGATGGTTAAAAAAAAATATTTACTTAATAAATGAGATTCTTATGTATCGGGCACTACCTAGGCAACAGGAATACAGTAAGTGAGAAAAAACAGCTCCAGTTCTTGCCTTTATGGATTTACAAGTCTAGTGGCAGAGACAATCCAAATAATCATACAAGTGATAAACTATAATGTGGGTGAAGAGGAGGAAGGCAAGACACATGATGATACAAAAGTATGTAAGGGGATTCCTGGCCTAACGGGGGAATGTTGGTTAAGATTTTCTTGAGTAAGTATGCTTTTCAAATATTTTGTTAATTTACAACATCTTTGATCATTAGATAGTTGAAGCATTTTTTTCCAAACAGAAATAAAAACAGCCAGTAGTTGTCAATTTTCAGTTCATATCCTTTGCCTTCTTTTTCTTTGAGGATGAGTTCTTAACCCATGGCCTTTCCTTCACATTAATAAGCTGGTATTATTATCCTCTATGAGGTTAAAAAAAAATACTCTAAAATCATTTGACTACATTTTTCTAAGCACTTGGTAAGATTTAAAGCATTTAAACTATGGCACTGTTTGCAGAGGCCTCTAGTTTTAAATATTATTTTGCTTTAAAAAGAAAGGCACATTAAATTTGATCTCTCCCTCTCTGGGTTTTGGTCAGAAGAAATTTTACATTTTGTCTAGGACAGCCAGATTGCTGGTAAAAACCAAAACTCAATGATCTGCACAAGAACGAACAGTACCCCTTACAAGTTAGTTTGTACTTCTACGTTCACTGGGAAAGAATCTAAAGACACAGGTTCAAGCTGGGTTCACCGCTCTTCTAAATTTGGATTCACATCTGCACACACACCTTTATACATAGGGATACAGAACTACACAGGTGTGAATTCAAGATGATTACTATTCTTAGCCATCATTAACATTTCAAAAAGTTAAAGTTGCCTGTAAGGAATCTTTGCCCATCTAAGCCCATTTTAAAGCATTTTCCCCGAGGGGTTTTATTCATTAGGAACTAGATAACAATGAATTAAAAAGCTACATACCTTCTTTTAACTTCTCAACAAAAGAAGGAATCTCAAGTGTCTTTAAGGTAGTTAGATTTTTCACAGTGCCTCGTGGAGTTTCCACCTCAATAGAAAAAAAAAGCTCCAGAGGAAATTCAAGAAGGGAAAAGATAAAAGAAAAATAGTGTAAAAAAACCCAAGTTGTTCCACTTTAAAAAGCAATGGGAATTATAGTAAGAATTCTGCTTACCAAACCAGAAAAATTAAAGGTATAATACTCAGTGGTGATAAGTCATTTTGATAATTTTCTTCTCTATGTATACAGTGAGACAAGTTCTCTCAAACTGCTGGAGGGACCATAAAAGGATAGCATTTCCATAAATCATCAAGAACTTAAAAATACTAAAACTGTTCAACCTAGTAATTTTATTGCTGAAAATCTCTCCTAAGTAAATACTCATAAATGCGGAGAAATATCTATCTATAAAGATGATTGTCACAAAACTATTAATGGTGAAAAACTAGAAATAACTATTTCTCTCATAATGGAGTAAGAACTTAGCCATAAAATTCCTATCTCAGCGTATGATAAAGAACGCTTAAGTGGCTGGGGAGAGAAAATAACTATAGAAAGTATGATTATAACTGCATGAAGAGATCCAGAAGTATGTAGAAAGAAACTTCACAGTCATCTAACCAACTGAAGTAGACCGCAGGTAGCAGGATGCATAAACGTGTACTAAATTTTTCAAACCGTCTATAGCAAACACAAATTACAAAAAAGAATTCAGAGAATGGGTTTAAGAATTTAAAATCTGGGTATGGCTCTCTGACAAAGGAACTCACAATATATTAAAAAACACAGTATATTTACATAAGAATGAACTGTCTTCTTTTAAGAAATTGGTAAAACTTCTGGGATGACCTTTGGTCACATGTATTAAGAGTCTCTATGTTTCTATCCAGCACAAATGTCAGCAATAGTCCAGTACTTCCAGGATTCTATTATGAGAATGAGATACGGTCAGGACTTTCTTACAGGGAAGTTCACTGCCACATTATAAGTTAATAAAACTAGTATGCACAACTTTATAAAAGAGAGGAAAATATAAAGTGGGAATTATATCCTTCCTCAAAACTCCCCAGCCCACAGGTGCCTTTCAAAGATTCCTCCATATATCCAACCATGTAAATGCACAGCTTTTTAAAAAATGTACATGAAGAGTCAAATATACTATTTCACATCTTTTTTCAAATGACGTATTTTGGAGTTTTCTCCATGTATGTATGTAGAGATCGACTTCATTATTTTGTGGCAGCATGGTGGTCCACTCTGTGAATATATTAAACCATTTCTCTTTATTTATTTAATAGATGTCATAATAGTTTATAACATTGTGAACTTTTAGGTGTAATTATCAGTCACCATATAAATGCGGCCCCCTTCACCCCTTGTGCCCACCTTCTAACCCTCTTCCCCCTAGTACAAACTACTCTCTCTGTCCATGTGTTAGTTTATCTTCCATGTATGAGTGAAATCATGCAGGGTTTGTCTTTTTCTGTCTGGCTTATTTCAATTAACATAAGGCCCTCCAGGTCCATCCATGTTGTTGCAAATGGGACAATTTTGTCTTTCTTTATGGCTGAGTAGTATTCCATGGTATGTGTAAACCACATCTTCTTTATCCAATCATCAGTTGAGGGACACCTGGGTTGCTTCCACTTCTTGGCTATAGTGAATAACGCTGCAATGAACATAGGCGTGCACAAGCCTCTTTGGATTGTTGATTTCAGGTTCTTTGGATATACCCAGTAGTGGAATAGCTGGATCATAAGGTATTTCTATTTTTAATTTTTGGAGGAATCTCCATACTGTTTTCCACAGAGGCTGCACCAGTTTGCATTCCCACCAGCAGTGAATGGGGGTTCCTTTTCTCCACAACCTCTCCAACATTCGTTATTTTTATCTTGGTGATTATAGCCATTCTAATAGGTATAACGTGATATGTTAGTGTAGTTTTGATTTGCATTCCCCTGATGATTAGTGATGTTGAGCATCTTTTAATGTGCCTACTGGCCATCTGAATATCTTCCTTGGAAAAATGTCTGTTCATATCCTCTGCCCATTTTGTGATGGGATTGTTTTTTTGTTGTTCAGTTGTGTGAGTTCTTTATATAGTACAGAGATTAACCCCTTGTTGGATATATACTTTGCAAGTACTTTCTCCCAGCTGGTGGGTTGTCTTTTCATTTTGATTCTGGTTTCATCTGCCTTGAGGAAACTCTTTAGTTTGATGAAGTCCCACTGGTTTATTTTTTGTTTTCCTTGTCCCTGTACACATGGAATTTGAAAAGATGCCTCCATGACCAGTGTCCAAGAGTGTACTGCCTATATTTTCTTCCAGGAGTTTTATAGTTTCAGGTCTTATCTTCAAGTCTGATCCATTTTGACTTAACTTTTGTGTATGGTGAAAGAAGATGGTCTACTTTCATTCTTTTGTATGTGGCTGTCCAGTTTTCCTAGCACCATTTATTGAAGAGACTTTCCTTTCTCCATGGTATGTTCTTAGCTCCTCTGTCGAAGATTAGCTGTCCGTAGATGTGTGGTTTTATTTCCGGGCTTTCAATTCTGTTCCATCAATCTGCGTGTCCATTTTTGTACCAGTACCATTATTATAGCTTTGTAGTATATTTTGAAGACAGGGATTGTGATGCCTGCACCTTTGTTCATTTTTCTCAGGACTGCTTTGGCTATTCCGGGTCTTTTGTTGCCCCATATGAATTTTAGTATTCTCTATTTCTGTGAAGAATGTCATCGGGATTCTGATTGGGATTGCAACAAATCTGTAGATTCCTTTAGGGAGAATGGACATTTTAACTATGTTTATTCTTCTGATCCATGTACATGGGCTATCTTTCCATTTCTTTATGTCATCACTGATTTCACTCAATAATGTCTTATAGTTTTCATTGTATAGGTCTTTTACCTCCTTGGTTAAATTTATTCCTAGATATTTTATTCTTTTTGTTGTGATTGTAAATGGGATTGTCTTCTTGAGTTCTCTTTCTGTTATTTGTTATTAGAGTATAGACATGCAATTGATTTTTGTTAAGTTGATTTTTGTACCCTGCAACTTTGCTGTCGTTGTTGATTATTTCTAATAGTTTTCTGATGGATTCTTTAGGGTTTTCTACATTTAAAAATCATGTCGTCCGCAAACAGCAAGAGTTTCACTTTGTTGCCTAACTGGATTCCTTTTATTCCTTTTTCTTGCCTAACTGCTCTGGCCAAAACCTCTAGTACCACATTGAATAAGAGTGGCATGAGTGGGCACTCGTCTTATTCCTGTTCTCAGAGGGATGGCTTTCAGTTTTTCCCCATTGACTATGATGTTGGCTGTGGGTCTGTCATATACAGCCTTTATTATGTTGAGGTATTTTCCTTCTATACCCATTATGTTAAGAGTTTTTATCATAAATGGATGTTGTATCTTGTCAAATGCCTTCTCTGCCTCTACTGAGAGGATCATGTGGTTTTTATTCCTTGTTTTGTTAATATGGTATATCACATTGACTGATTTGTGGATGTTGAACCATCCCTGTATCCCTGATATAAATCCCCCTTGATCACGGTGTATGATCTTTTTAACGTATTGTTGTATTCGGTCTGCCAATATTTTGTTGAGGATTTTTGCATCTATGTTCATCAGCGATACTGGCCTGTAATTTTCCTTCTTTTTATTGCCCTTGTCTGTCTTTGGTATCAGGGTGATGTTGGCCTCACAGAATGTGTTAGGAAGTGTTCCATCTTCCTCTATTTTTTGGAATAGTTTGAGAAGGATAGGTATTAAACCTTCTTTGAATGTTTGGTAAAATTCTCGAGAAAAAATAAAAGTCCTTTTTGGGAGGTTTTTGATTACTGTTTCAATCTCTTTACTTGTGATTGGTCTATTCAGGTTCATCTACTTCTCCTTGATTCAGTTTTGGGAGGTTGTATGACTCTATGAATTTATTCCTTCTAGATTGTCCAATTTGTTGGCATATAGTTTTTCATAGTATTCTCTTACAATCCTTTGTATTTATGTGGTATCCGTCATAATTTCTCCTCTTCCATTTCTAATTTTATTGGAGCCTTCTTTTTTTTTTTTCTTAGTGAGTCTGGATAAGGATTTGTCAATTTTGTTTATCTTCTCAAAGAACCAGCTCTTTGTTTCATTGCTGCTGTTTTTTGGGGTTTTTTTTTTTTTTTTCAGTTTCAATTTCATTTATTTCTGCTCTAATTTTTATTATTTCCCCCCTTTTGCTGACTTTGGGCTTTGTTTGTTCTTCTTTTTCTAGTTCTATTAGGTGTAGTTGAAGGTTGGTTATTTTGGATTTTTCTTGTTTGTTGAGGTGGACCTGTATTGCTTTGAGTTTCCCTCTCAGGACCGCTTTAGCTGCATCCCACATGAGTTGGTATAGTAATATTTTCATTTGTCTCTACATATTTTTTGATTTCTCCTTTAATTTCTTCAATGACCCACTGGTTATTCAGTTGCATGCTGTTTAGTCTCCAGATCTTTGTCACTTTCCGAGTTTTTTTCTTGTAGTTGATTTCCAGTTTCACAGCATTATGGTCAGAAAAGACAATTGTTATGATTTTAATTTTCTTAAATTTTATAGAGGCTTGCCTTGTTTCCCAACATATGGTCTATCCTTGAGAATGTTCCATGAGCACTTGAGAAGAATATGTAATCTGCTGTATTTGGATGGAGTGCTCTCTATATACATCTATTAAGTCCATGTGGTCTAGTTTTTCATTTAAGTCCACTATTTCCTTACTGACTTTCTGTCTGGATGATCTATCCATTGATATAAGTGGGGTGTTAAGATCCCCTACTATTATTGTGTTGTTGTTAATATCTTCTTTTAGATTTCTTAATAGTTGCATTATGTACTTTGGTGTTCCTGTATTGGATGCATATATATTTATAAGTAATATCTCTTCTTGGTGGAGTGTCCCTTTTATCATTATATATTGCCCCTCTTTGTCTCTCATTACTTGTTTAATCTTGAAGTCACCTTTGTCTGATATAACTATGGCAACACCTGCTTTCTTTTGTTTGTCATTAGCTTGGAGGATTATCTTCCATGCTTTCACTCTGAGCCTGTGTTTGTCTTCAGAGCTGAGATGTGTTTCCTGGAGGCAGCATATTCTTGGGCCCTGTTTTTTAATCCATCCCACCACTGTGTCTTTTGATTGGAGAATTCAATCCATTTACACTTAGAGTAATTATTGCTATATGAGTGCTATTTTACCACTCATCTTCCAGTTCTTTTGCATTTGCTTTGTTTCTCATCGTGCGTGTTTTGGACTACCAATTCAGTTTGGTAGTTCTGTATGATAGTTTTCTTAGCTTTCTATTTATCATGTGTGTCTCTGTTCTGTTTATTTGTTCAGTGGTTACCATGAGATTTGTAAAAAAAATCTCATAGATGAGACAGCCCAGTTTCTGATGGCCTCTTATTTCCTCAGACTACATCAATTCCATCCCTTTCCGTTTCCCCTTCTAAGTTATTATTGTCACTATTTACTCCATCTTGTGTTGTGAGTTTGTGTTTAAACTGATGAGGTTATATTTATTTTTGGTGTTTTCCTTCCCTTAATCTTTGATGTTATAATTGTTTGCTAACCTATTCTGATAGAGCTGCAATTTTTCTGGTTTTGTCTGCCTATTTTTCTCCTTGCTCAAAGCTTTGTATCCCCTTTCTCTTTTTTTTTTTCAGGCATGAGGGCCTTCTTGAGCATTTCTTGTAGTGGGGGTCTAGTGGCAATGAACTCCCTTAGCTTTTGTTTATCTGGGATAGTTATTTCTCCATTATATCTGAAGGATATTTTTGCTGGATATTCTTGGCTGAAAGTTTCTGTCTTTCAGAATTTTGAATATATCATTCCACTCTCTCCTAGCGTGTCGAGTTTCTGCCGATAAATTGGCTGAAAGCCTGACTGGGATTCCTTTGTACATTATTATTTATTTTTTTGCCGCCCTTAATAACTTTTCTTTGTCATTGACTTTTCCCAGCTTTACTACTATATCCCTTGAGAGGATCTTTTCATGTTGATATATTTAGGAGATCTACTGACTTTATTCACTTTACTTCTAGCTCCTTCCACAGGTTTGAGAAGTTCTCAGCTATTATTTCTTTGAACAAGCTGTCTGCTTCTTTTTCCCTTTCTGCTCCCTCTGGAATACCTATGATCCTTATGTTGCATTTCCTAATTGAATCAGATATTTCTCAGAGAATTTCTTCATTACTTTTTAGTCTTAGTTCTCTCTCCTACTCCATCTGGATTCCTATCCTCAATAATGCTAATTCTTTCCTCTATATTGTCAGCTCTGTTCTTTAAAGATTCCAGGTTTTCCTTACCTCCTCCATTGTTTTTCATCTTCAACATTTCTGATTGGTTTTTCTTTATAGTTTCAATCTCTTTTGTGAAGAAGTTCTTGATTTCACTGAATTGTCTATCTTTCTTGTAATTCATTGAGCTTTTTTATGATAGCTATTTTGAATTTTCTGTCGCTTAGGGTATAAATTTCTGTGCCTTCAGGATTGATTTTCGGGTGCTTGTCATTTTCCTTCTGGTCTGGAGATTTAATATATTTTTGCATACTGCTTGAGGGCATGGGCTTATTTTTCCTCATTCTGAAAATATCTGGTCACAGCTTCCACCTGCCGCTACTAGGTGGGGGTCAAGAGCTGTGTATTCCAAGCCCGCTGTGATCCGCAGGTGCTCTGGCCGATTGGTTGTGCTGGGGCACTGGGTAGGGGGTAGAGGCTCTTTTTTTGCCTGCCTGATCCCAGGGGCTTCTCATGCTTCCCTCGCTATCTGCTCTCCTGGGGTGCTAGCTTGATGAAGGCACCCCCACAACAGTTCAGTCCCCTCCATATGGGACGTTCCCACAGACTGTGAGAGAGCTTGGAGAGCGACAGTTTTCCCGTGGAGGGCAGCCTCTCTCCGCTGAGAGCTGTGCAGACCCGGTTCCAGGGTCGCTGTCATTCGCGAAGGAGAGGAGTTCTCCTTACGTCCTTCTACTTCCTCTGGGGGTTCCAGCACCTTCACCTTCAGATGTGAGCCTGCGTGGGTCCCTCAGACATCTTTTGTGTTTTGTGAAGGTCCTCCGTTGGTAGATGAATGTCCTTTTTGTTGTATCTTAGGTGGGGAGAGTCTACAGGGA